TTCTATCATGAGCCTACAAACTCTGCACTTCATGTGTGCTAAATATACAGTATTAAATTCATGAAAGCCTACGAAACAAAAACATCACCAATGAAGCAGAAAGCGATGAACCTACCCCATTTTAAACCTATTTAGTATTTAATTTTACCTTGTGTCATTATGCCTTTATGGAGGGGGAAAGTATAGTATTCCCGATTTGACAGACAAAACTCCCCTTTAGCAGATCCAAAGTTTGTAAAAGCAAATTCCCGGTAAACCAGGCGTTTACTGTTCGTTCAATGAGAAAAAGCAGAAAGAAGAGATAACAATCTGTCTGTCTGATTCCTCTTACCTCCTAGATGAACCCGCGTCCTGACTGGTCGGTACAGACCTCCTGTTCCCGCCTCCTCCACCACCACCTCCTCTCCCTCTTCCCTGATTGGCTGGCCGATGTGCTGTCCTCCCTGATTGGCTGTAGCCATTGGAGGAGGAGGAGAAGGGCTGGCGGTAGAGGGAGACCATCTCCTGATTGGCCGGGGAGAAATCGGGCTGGTGGAACTGAGGCTCCTGATAGGTCAGGGGTGGCTGGTGTACCGGGTCTGGACCGGTGCTGTAGAGAGACAGCCCTGGCTCCTGATTGGCTGAATGAGGAGAGTGCAGGTGATGGGGCTGCCTGCTGCTGTCGGGGGGTCCCACGTAGAGAGAGGGGTCGCTCGGGGGTTTCCTCAACTCTCGGAGCGGGGCGTAATTGGGGCGCAGTGCCGAAATGACGCCGCCCTGCTCCCTGAGGCTGGGGGGGGCCGCCGGGTGGAGGGGAAAGGGTCCCCAGGTCTGTGAGGGGTCTGCGACTGGCAGCAGACACTGCCTCCTCCTCTCCGAGATCCCAAACCCGCAGCTACGAGAGCAGGGCGTCCAGGCGCCCCAGGGGCCCCACACCCCCTGCAAGGGCCCCACCGGCCCCTCGCTTGTGGGAGCCTGCCGGGACGCTCTGCCTGGAGCCTGCGGAGCAGAAAACACAGCGCGGTGAAGTCGGGCACAGCGCCCCCTGCTGGAAGGCTGTGGCACTGCAGGGCGACATGGTGGAAGACAGAGGGGACGCAGGGGCGGAGAGGGAGAGCCTGCAGGGGGATTGTGGGCGTTCGGCGGCGCAGACGGAGCAGGCAGTTAAAGGTTAACAACCCACCTCGGGCTCGGGCTGGGAGAGCTGCACGCCGGCGAAGAGGAGGCTGAGCACCACAGACAGCAGACACAGCCTGGGGGCAGAGAGCAGTTACTACACACCGGCACACTGACTCACAGACTGGCACACCCGGGGAACGCCACACCGCTGGCGGCGCTTGTTTACTCTGCACAGGTAACAGGGTGGTAGTAA